GATTCAGCTTCCTCCATGGAAGACATGTTGGTGGGATTGAGAAGGTCCAAGAAGAATTCCTTCCACCTCCTGACGACATCACTGGTTGAGGTCAACAGCACCCCACCTTCACTGAACACAGTGTTAGTAAAGTGCTGCTTCCCCTCCTCAGCTGTCTGATGGTTTGCCAGAATCTCCTCATAGCTGACCGAGAGTCTCTATCGAAGGTCTCACCGAACTCCTCCCACATCTGAGCTTTTGCCTCAGCAACAGCCAAGGCTGCACACTGCTTGGCCCTCCGGTACTCCTCAGCTGCCTCCAGAGTCCCACTGGCCAATAAGGCCCAATAGAACTCCTTCTTCAGCTTGACAGTCTCCCTAACCCGGGATGTCCACCACCGAGTTAGTGGATGACCACCGCGAGAAGCACCGACAACCTTACGACCACAGCTCAAGGCAGCTACCTCAACAAGTGAGGTGCAGAACATGGCCCACTCAGACTCAGTGTCCCCCACCTCAGCTGGGATGCATTTAAAGCTCTCCCGGAGGTGTGAGTTGAAGATCTCTCTGACAGATTCTTCTGCCAGGCATTCCCAGCAAACCCTCACTACACGTTTGGGTCCACCGGGTCTGTCCGGCATCTTCCCTCGCCATCTGATCCAACTCACTACCAGGTGGTGATCAGTTGATAGCTCAGCTCCTCTCTTTACCCGAGTGTCCAAAACAAATGGCTGCAAATCAGATGACACGACTATGAAGTCAGTCATCGATTTACGACCTAGGGCATCCTGGTGCCAAGTGCACTTATGGACACCATTATGTTCGAACATGGTGTTCGGGATGGACAAACTATGACTAGCACAGAAGTCCAACAACAGAACATTGCTCGGGTTCAGATCAGAGAGGCTGTTCCTCCCAATCACGCCCCTCCAGGTCACACTGTCATTACCCACGTGGGCATTGAAGTCCCACAGCAGAATAAAGGAGTCCCCAGCTGGCGCACCTTCCAGCAACCCTGCCAAGGACTCTAAGAAGGCCGGATATTCTGAACTGCAGTTTGGCGCATAGGCACAAACAACAGTCAGAGCCCGTCCCCCCACCCGAAGGCTAAGGGAAGCCACCCTCTCATCTACCGAGGAAAACACCAACACGGGCACCAAGTCGGGGGGCTACAAGTAGACCCACACCAGCTCGACGCCTCTCACCATGGGCAACTCCAGAGTGGAATAAGGTTCAACCCCTCTCAAGGAGATCAGTTCCAGAGCCCATGCTGTGCATCAATATGAGCCCAACTATATCTAGTCAGTACCTCTCAACCTTGTGCACAAGCTCAGGCTCCTTCCCTGCCAGAGAGGTTACATTGCATGTCCCAAGAACTAGCTTTGGTAAGCCAGGGTCAGAGCGCCAAGGTCCCCGCCTTCGGCCACTGCCCATAGCATCATGCACCCGACTTTTATGGCCCTTCCTGCAGGTAGGTGGTGGGTCCACAGGAAGGCAAACCCATGCTGCTCCTTTGGGCTGAGCCTGAGCCCATGGGCAGAGACCCAGTCACCAGGTGCTCACCAATGAGCCCCTCCCCCAGGCCTGGCTCCAGGGTGGGGCCCCGGTAACCCACATCTGGGCAAGGGACACTGAGTTCCTTGTTTTGTTTTGTCCATAAAAATCGTCTGAATCGCTCTTTGTCTGGCCTGTCTCCTAGGACCAATCTGCCTTGGGAGACCCTACCAGGGGCAATTATAATTGCCCTCGACAGCATAGCTCCTAGGATCATTCAGGCAAACAAAGTCCTCCACCACGATAAGGTGGCGATTCAAGGAGGAGTCTGTACAATAATTAAATTCATAATTTATGTTTTAAATAAAAAAGTACAATAATTAAAACATAAATAATGAAAAAATGTTTTTTTCTTTAAAACTACTAAACTGACCAGAAATATTATTAAAAATCAACAAAACAATCTTTTAATAAATAAAATAACACCAGACAAACACATTGGGATTCCACATCAAGCTCCACTGGAACCAGTTTAAACAGGTGCGTTTTCAATATTTATTTTTTGTGTCTCAGCTGGTAGAGCCTCTCAGCAAGAAGGTTGCCAGTTCACATCTCAGCCAAGGACACTTCAAGTTTTAAAAATGTTAAGTCTGGTCCTCTGGACATTCAAAAAATAAAAATAAAAAAATTGTAGAAACATTTTGTCTTTCATCCGAAAGACGTCTTCAGTCTGAAGAGCTGTATTCAGCTCAGTTTTATAAATAGCACGTTCTCATAGTGGATCAACCAGCTTGCTACTGACAGCCAAAACTAGCTGTTCACGTGATTAATGATTTTCTACCTGGATCATTTTTTCATTCATTCAACCTTTATTTAGACAGGAAAATCCTGATGTCTCTCATTTACAAGAGAGACATCAGGTCACTTCAAGGTTCTTTTTTGTCATTCGCATCACACGTGGTACTTAAGGTAGAACGAAATTGTGTACTTAAGGTCCCAATTACTTTGTACATCCAAAAATATAAAGTATAAAAAGAAACAGTATACAAGGATATAAAATATATGCTAACAAATGCTAAACGATATGCTAAAAGAGCTAAGATGTACTAAACACTAATAATGTAAAACAATATGGCATATTAAACAGCAGCCTGAACATGAGTTTATAGTACGTCTATATAAATATAACTCTATATACTCCACCATTTCTGGGCGGAGTTGCATGTTCTCTCCGTGCATGCGTGGGTTTTCTCCAGGTAATCCAGTTTCCCCCCACAGACTAAAAACATGCATGTTAGTCTGATCGGTAACTCTAAATTGTCCCTAGGTGTGAATGAGAGAGTTGTTTGTCTCTGCGATTGACTGAAGACCTGTCCAGGGTGTCCCCCGCCTCTCACACAGTGTCTGCTAAACATGGACACCAGTGACCCCCGCGACCCAAAAAGGAAAAAGCGGATCAAGATAATGGATGGATGGATTTCTTCTTCAAATTATTAAATTGTTCCATTGATCAGCTGCGTTTGTGATTTCAATGTTTGTAACAAACCTGATAAATCCAGCTGAAGTGATCTGAAACAAAGAGACAAGACATTCTGAAAGACGGAGTGTTTTTCCATCTAAGAAACAACGCAAAGTCTATCAGGGGCTAACTGATCCCCATATTGATCTGAGCCCACCCAGAGTCCACTGCGAGTCGGACAAACACTTATGTTCAAGTTGTCTCCATCAGTTCACCAATTTTAGAATAGAATAGAATAGAATAGAATAGAATAGAATAGAATAGAATAGAATAGAATAGAAACAGCCTTTATAGTCCCACGGATGGGAAATTCAAGTGTAACAGCAGCAACAGATAAAAAGATTCACACAAAAAGTTTCTAAAATGTTAAAAACAATATATAAAGAAATAAGATAACCAATATCAATAGTAATGTTCAATATGTAATGGAACATCACCAACGGTAAATTTTGCTGCTGAAACACCAGGAGAACAAACCTAAAGGCAATGTAATAATCTTTCGAACACAGAAAGTCATGTAGACAGCATGCTAACTGTGTGGTAAAGGGATAGTTCTGAGCTTTTCTAGTGGGATTCTGTAGAAAAATGTTGTGAAGAACAAATTTGTTTCTTGCTGTAAACCTCTTTGTCTGACCTCAGTCTGAAGAAAAAGAGTTTAATTTTGAATGAGCTAAGCCTGAGCAGAGCTGAAACCAGAGTAAATTTCCAGGTATCTTTAAAGGCTGGAGTTGTTCTGAGTCAGCAGCGATCCTCATTCTTCCCTCTGACAAGCTGTCGGTTCATCTGTTTTTTGCCCCAATTAAACTCTGTTTCTGCAAACAGGTCATTGGAAGAGCTGTCGACAACAAGAAACAGATTTTTTACAAAATCCCACTTCAGATGATCTGAACACCGACTAAGAAACAACTGCATCGCATTTTTATAAATACTATATGGCAGTGGTTCTCAAACTGGGTCCCCTGACCCCCGAGGGTCCGCAATCCGGTGCTTGGGGATCCGCAAAAAAAAAGGTTTTCTTTTAACAAGCACAGATGTTTAACAACCCATTAAAATGCACCAAAATGCAGAAAATATCTACTTTATTCAAAATTTTCTGGTGGAGGACCCCTAGATTTCTCCCCCATCACCCCGGCTCACTATTTGCGTTCCAGCATCAATTGGTTTACAAATGAAGCCCTGTTACTTGGTTTGACTACTGCTGTTATGATTCTTTTCAGTTTTATGTAAAGAGTTTTCTGTAGTAATTTGAAGAAGTGACAATGTATTTATGTTCATTGTGCGAATAGGTAAAGTTTTAAAGTGTTTGTGGATGCTATTAATTTTCTCATAACTGTCATTTTTGGAAGTTGAAATAAAAAAAATTGTTAATTATGTGTGTATTGAATAAAAAAATACCCCATATTTAAAAGTATAAAAATTGTATTAACACTATTAAGAAACAGGTCTTCAGTATTTATGTTACACAAATATTTCCATTGCATTAAAGAAACAAATTGAAGAAAATTATTTAATAAACATGAGGGTTATGAGGGGGTCTCTGAACCCAAAATGTTTGAGAGCCCTTCTATATGTTGTATTAACAAACAAAAACTGACTGAAATGTGCTGGGTGGACTAAAACTGAAGATCTATAAGTTCTGGGAATTAAACATGATGAAAAATAACCAAGAAAAAGCAGTAAACATCTGTAAACAGCTGACATAAGAGCTTCACTGTGTCAGAGCTTCACTGGGCTCTCCTGCTGCTCATCAATGCTGCTGATTGATCCGGAGCACAGCTGATACCTGCACACATGCTTCCAGTCCACATCGATCCCTCTCCTCATGTCACCGTAAAGAACATTTCGCCATCTCTACATGAATGCACTTCACGATAATGTCTGAGGCATGATGATCTGCATTGTTTGTTAGCGTGGACTGTTGCAGCATCCTCAGAGGCGAGCCAGAGCGAGTCCACAGGGGGCGCCTTGAGTAGACCCTCGGAGTATAAAAGCAGGCTCTTGCAGGCAGCGGTTCACAGAGCTGGAGCCTGCAGAGGTGAGAGCACATGGACGACTTGTTTCACACTTTCAAAAAGAAATGATAGTAAAACATTTTGAAGAACGTGATGCTGATGAGGCTGTTCCTCAGTTGTGTTCATGGGCCCGTCTGTGAGACTAACTGCAGACCCTCAGATGGAGCACAAAGCTTGTCTTTGTGAGAGGACTGTTTGGGACGCGCCGGGGTAATTGCAGACAAATGTTTCGGTTGGATGGACTTGAGAGGAAATTTAGGGGTCCCGTTTTGTGTCTGGGTCCAGTTTGGTCCAGTTTGCTGTGCGATAGGCTGTTCTTTTTAATGATAATGTGATGTTCAGGCTTTGTTCCAGTAGCCCAGTGATGTAATAATCTTTTTTTATCAGATAGAATGTTAATAATTGACTCTCAGGATCATTTGAGACCACTTCCTGTTTGTGACTAAAGGATAAGACTTTTTATTTAATCACACAGTGTTTGATTAAATACAACTAACTGCAGCTGAAGCATTAACACTTTGTGTCAAACTGTCTTGAGTGAATCCTGTCCTCCCATAAAGCCAAACCTTCCTGTCCTCGTCTGACTTCAGATAGGCTAACTGTCAAACCTCCCCCTCCCTCCCCCTGCCTCCCTCCTGTACTTCTCCTTTCACCGATAAGTGATCGGTCTCTCCTCATCCTGAACGTCAGTCAGGGAGGCTCTGCTCTGCAAACTTCTCTCCTCTTCTGCCGCTCGCTGCTTCTCTCTGCTTCATCCCTTCTTTTCCTCCAGCATGGCCCCGACCCTCGCCACGGCCTTCGCCAGGCGCTGGTGGATGGCAGTGACTGCCATCGTGGAGAACCTGCTCTTCTCTGCTGTGCTGCTGGGATGGGGGTCGCTCCTCATCATGCTGAAGTCAGAAGGCTTCTACTCCTACCTCTGCAATGAGGACGGTGAGTCCAAACAGAACTGAAAGTTTGCTCTCTCTTCCTGTTTTGGTCAGAAAATATAAATGCTCTGGTGTTAAAAACTGTTTTTTTAGGTTTAGTTTTTACCTGAATTGGTTTGAAAATAGAATTAAGTGGAAGGAGTCTCTCGTTTAAAGAGATGTAAATCAATACTCCTGTCTGCTTCTTTTAGAAGAAGCCTTTTCTTCTTCTGTGAAGTGTGAACCTGTTAGTGGGACTCCAGAGACTAAACCTGATCAGTCCAGTTCAGGAAGACAAAGACGTCCAGAGTTAAAGGAATCAAAGTGTGCAGTTTTTCTTGACTCTGAACCGACAGCAGCTCCAGACAAAGTGGACGCTGGCTGACAGAAGAGGGTTATAACTCACCTTAGCCTCCTAAATCACCCCCTCCCTGACATTTTAGTTCTTCTCTGTCTCATGCTCTAAAGTTTCATTTGTGTTTCTGTGCCCTCATACAAAACAGGATGACATCTACAACTGATTAACACAATATAAGACAGCTGACACAAACAAATAAGTTTAAAAACACACAAAAAATGGGTCAAACTATTTCAATTTTACAGATATTGGCCTAATATCTGGTGTGGTAGTAGCTGAGACTGACCCTCAACTTATATTCTAAGTGCCAAGAATCTTGTTTAAAATTTTCCCATTAACTATTTGGAGTCCACTCAGTCTTTATGTTGGAAAAATATTTACTGAACCAATAATGATATTTGTAAAAAAAAAAAAAAAGGAACTAATCATTGGATGGAATTTAACAAATGACTTACTTTAAGAGCCAACCCATTTCAAGATGGCTGCCAGAGCCAACTGGCTGTCATCAACAAACAAATGGTCGTGATTCAGTCAGTTTCGCAGATATTGTGTAAAGATTTGTGTTGGCTGCAGCTGAGTGTCATTGACAACAGACTCTGGCACTAACGCCGTCAGCCGTGGGTCTCTGTGAACAAATGGTGCAATTATTTAAGACACATTTTCTTGAAGCAACCACTGGATGCACATCTGCAGATTATTAACTTTTATAGAGTCATGTCAAAATAAGACCTCCGCTCATCGAACCTTGTGAAACACAGGAATAGTCAAGTCCAGTCAACGTTGCAGATATTAGGGTGGTAGTAGCTGAGAGTCATTAACAGCACGCACTCTGAGTGTGACAGCTCTTATTTTTACACGAGGTCATGAAAGAGGTTATTTTCAAGGATGGACTAAAACAACTCCATCATTTCGCAACATGAAATAATCTGTGTGGAGTTTAAATATGTTCTCATCCAACAACGTTCAGTCAGGTCCTCTGGACGGTTTCTTTTTTGATGAGACGTTTCGTCCTTCATTCAAAGGACTTCATCAGTCCTAGGAGCCAAAACAAACTTATTCTCACAAGCAGCACTCTCCCATAGTGAACCAACCAGTTTGCTGGTGATAAGATGGTTTCTGAAGCCCCCCCCCCCCCCCCCCCCCCCCCCCCCCCCCCCCCCCCCC